TTGGGCAGGCTTGGAGGAATTCCCAGTTCACTGCAGGCGAAGCGGAGCTGACATGTCGGGACTGTGTCGCTGGGGACCCAGCCACAGCTGTCCACGGGGCTCGTGGGTCCGCCTGCGATGGGGTGACGTCCATGGCTGGTGGAGGCTCTGCCACACCTCGCAGGGTCTCCCCACTCGCTTACCCCGTCCCCACCTCCGTCACAGTCTCTCCTAACGAGCCTCCTCCCCTACAGTTGTCTCATAAAAGTTTACGGCTGAAACACCAGCCTCCCTCATCTTTTGCCTGATGAATTTAGCAATGTCGCAATTCGTCAGCGCAGCACCATGATGCCATGGCCTTTCCTTGTAAGGACAGGCTGTGAGGACGCAGGAAGCAGGGTCTCACCCCGGCCCACGGGTGACGGTGACGAGGAGGGTCTACTGGAAACACTGCCGACGAAGGAGGTGGTGATGGTCTTGGAAACTCTCTGTGGTCACTGGCCTGACCTGCGGGCTACTTGCCAGTGCGGCTCATGATATTTGAAGGACCTGTCACCTATGACGAGTCACCAGATGGCCTGGTTGACACTGTTTTCTAGCATTTTGTGGTATTGTGTTCAGCGTTTAAATGGCATAATGCTGGCAGATCCTTGTGGGTTCTGGGAGGATTTCCAGCACTTTCAAATCTTTCTGGTTTAGTGGCACTTGCCTCTGGCCTGACGGGTGGGGGTCATGCTCTCACAGGGGCAGGGGAGATGTCGGACCCCCTGTGGCTGCAGGTGTCAATCCTGACTCCTTCCATGGGCTAGGAGGAGGTGTCCGGGAAGTGGTTGGTCCACAGGAAACAGAAAGTAGCCCTTTGAGCTTTGTCATCTAGAAAACAAGTGGCTGGTCACGAGTCTTTACCTCTGAAAGCCCTGGGGGATAAATGGTCACATTTTAGACAAGAAACACTTAACTTTTGCTCCCCAGTGCGTTTCTCTGGGCCGTGGTGGGATGGACAGGAATGACCACATTTGGTACATTCCGAGCATCCCCCGTTCTTACCTGCCTGGCCCACAGTGTGACTTGTTCCTACAGGATGGCCTTGGCGGGGATCCCCCGCCCCCACCCCTGTCTGCAGCTCCCCCTGCACCACACGGTCACAGCCCCACGACAACAGGTGCAGCCTGACTCTCAGTTTCCAGTTCTCCTCCTGGGTGGTTCTGGAGCCCGCCCGCTGTGCAGATAGCCCTCCCGGTCCGGGCCCAGGCCAGGCCCTGCTGCCGCTGAGAGGAGGGCAGCAAGACTGAGGGTGAGGCGTCCGGGCTCCAGAACCAGTTACCCTGGGCTCCCACGAGGGCCGTGGCTGCGAGGAAGTTGCTGTCTCTCTGCCTCAGTGGTTCCATCTGGAAAATGGACACAAACTCATCTCAGGTTCGTTTTGTACGTGAAATCAGATGGTGTTTGGGAGCCTCCCACGCACTACCAGCCGTCGGGAGATTTGCTGGAGTGAGCATTCGTCCCCGGCACGCCGAGGGCAGGGCCGTCTTCGCGTTACCCTTTCTTGCTAGAAGGTGGCCTTTCCTGCCCTCCTGACCCCACAGTCAGCTTTTGTTTAAAAACACCCCAGTTTGCTGCACGGTGGGTGTGGCCCAGACGGGGGACGGCAGCCGGAGCAGCCGTAAGAGGACGCCCTCCTCTCAGCTTGGCCGAGGCCTTTTTACCTCTCANTTGCTGCACGGTGGGTGTGGCCCAGACGGGGGACGGCAGCCGGAGCAGCCATAAGAAGACGCCCTCCTCTCAGCTTGGCCGAGGCCTTTTTACGTCTCATNGCAGCCGTAAGAGGACGCCCTCCTCTCAGCTTGGCCGAGGCCTTTTTACCTCTCATTTTTTTTTAACTTTAACTTGGACAATAAGAACAGAATTTAAAACTGTCATGGATTTTGTTTTTTAAAAAGGCAAAAAAAAAAAATTCTTCTTAAGTTTTTTTCAACCAAGAGAGCNTTTAACTTGGACAATAAGAACAGAATTTAAAACTGTCATGGATTTTGTTTTTTAAAAAGGCAAAAAAAAAATTCTTGTTAAGTTTTTTTCAACCAAGAGAGTTCTTTTCAATAATAGTGTAGAATCGTCCATTCTTTGTTTGTTCATTTAACTTTTCATTCATGCGCTCAGCAAGCAGCTTCTTGGGGCTACAGCACAGTTCCTTGTCCTCGGGCATTTCCTCTCTCGTGGGGGATTGGTCAGGAGGCAGGCAGGCAGGTAATGCGATAAACACGGGCCAGGGAAAGTCGGAGGGAGGCTGGAAGTACTCAGCAAAGCCACCTTGCCGTATGCGGAAGAGCCGGGGGACTTCCTGGAGGAGGCGGTGCCTGAAGGGAGGCTTCACTAATGAGTAGAACTTGGCCAGGCAGGTTACAGACGGTGTGAAGGTTGGAAGCCAGAGAGGCTCTGATTTGGTGGAGGAGCTGTGCTTAGAATGACAGACATGCGGAGTTTGGGAAGGTGCATGGGAAGAAACGGGCTTGGAGAGGTGAGCCAGGGCCCTATGTCTCTGTGTCTTTCTCGTACTTTAAGACGTGTCCTCCCCACAGAAATCAGAGGTGATGCTGTGCAGGCCGCTGGGGGATGAAGACCGAGGCCTCGGGCAGAGGAGCTGAAAGATGGTTTTCACAGTTGAGTCTTCAAAAGTTTCCCGATTCCCTCTGAGTGTCATGAATTTGAAGAGCATGAGATAAGCTCAGATATGCATGTCCAGCCCTGGTGCTAATTCTCTCCCACCAAGGAAGTGAATATTGACATTAATATCCAACATTTAGATTTCCTTTTCAAAAGCCTTAACCCACATGCCTGGTCTTACTGTAATCCNGAATATTGACATTAATATCCAACATTTAGATTTCCTTTTCAAAAGCCTTAACCCATATGCCTGGTCTTACTGTAATCCTGTCTACAATTAACATTTTAATAGGTAACTTGTGCTAAATGATACGCTCGTAAGAAGAAAACTCTTNCTGTCTACAATTAACATTTTAATAGGTAACTTGTGCTAAATGATACGCTCATAGGAAGAAAACTCAACTCTAGCCTTAATCACAGTATTAAGTGATTAAAGTATTCAAGAATGCGCTATAAAATATTGTTCCGAGAAGGATTGTATAAGGTGACGAGGGGAGAAACTCATCGCCGAGCCATTGACCGTCTCTCCAAGTGATCTGTGTCTCCCCGTTTCCGCGGTTCCTTGCTCCCCGTGCTAGGAATGCTGGCGCCACCCCCACCCTTCGACCATTTTGATACCTGTTCCAGAGGGAAACCTCGTCATATCTCTGCATTCATCTGTTATTGATTTAGTGGTCACGTATTTTAAACAGTTTTACTAGGTTTAGGAAACAGAAGCGTGCCTTGGACTTTTTTCATCTGCTGTAGCACTTCGCCTGGGGCACACGCGGTTTAATTGATAGTAGTGATAAAGCATTTAGACAAACGGCTTAGGAAAGGACTTAAGTTTCATTGGTGGATAATCTAATCCTCCCCGACTTCGACAAAGCAAACGTGCCGAGTATACTCCAGACACTCCTCCTTAGTAACTGGGTGCTGCTGAGGAACCGCACCGCCTTCTGAACATTAGGCTGCGCACGCAGTCTCCTGTCCCTGCCGCTGCCGTGAGAAGTGTTGGGCGAGGGCCCTGCGGGGAAACCTGGTCTCTGCCTGGAGAAGCCCTAGAGGAAGCGGAACCAACCGACGGGGAGCCCGAGGCCCAGCCCTGACCTCCGCAGCCTCTATTCCGGCTGTAGAAATGGCTGCTCTGTATTTCTTGCTAAAGATCCCCTCATAGAAACACCAAACGTAAAGCCACTTAGAGAACGCGTCTGCTCCCTAAACCACAGGAAAGTTCTGCCTGGCCGGTGTGGCTCAGGGGTTGAGCGTTGACCCATGAACCTGGAGGTCACGGTTCAGTTCCCGTCAGCGCAGAAGCCTGCGTGTGGGCTCGATCCCCAGTAGGGGGCGTGCGGGAGGCAGCCGATCAGCGACTCTCTCATCATTGATGTCTCTCCCTCTCCCTTCCTCGCTCTGAAATAAAAATAAATAGATAGATAATTAAATAACATGAAAGGCCTTAGGGCATAGGAGGCGCTCAACAAACGTGAGTTTTTGCTTTTGGTTTTAATTCTGCTCCCTTCTTTAGCGTTAGGCTGACCACTGTGTCAGCCTCAGCCACCCGTGGCCTCTAGCGTCGGAAATGTTACCTGTCCGTATTGATACGCGTCAAGAATGAGGTACCCACTGAGTCTCAGAGACTTGCTGTGGGAAAAGTAGAATTCAGATAGCTCACGAAGGGCCTTATACTGATCGCATGCTAGTTTTGATATACGGAGCTAAATAAAGTATGTTAATTTCACATGTGGCTTTTTATTTTATTAATGTAGCTACTAGAAGATTAAAATGACCATGTGGCTGACTGGTGGCTTGCCTTATGTTTCCATCGGTCAGCTCCGCTTAGAGGGACCTCCCAGGGTGCCGGCATGGGGCAGCCGTATTGCGGGCACCCGTCAAGCGTCTCGATCGGCCAAGAGGACAGGAGAAGATCAAGCTGCAGCTGNAGAGACTTGCTGTGGGAAAAGTAGAATTCAGATAGCTCACGAAGGGCCTTATACTGATCGCATGCTAGTTTTGATATACGGAGCTAAATAAAGTATGTTAATTTCACATGTGGCTTTTTATTTTATTAATGTAGCTACTAGAAGATTAAAATGACCATGTGGCTGACTGGTGGCTTGCCTTATGTTTCCATCGGTCAGCTCCGCTTAGAGGGACCTCCCAGGGTGCCGGCATGGGGCAGCCGTATTGCGGGCACCCGTCAAGCGTCTCGATCGGCCAAGAGGACAGGAGAAGATCAAGCTGTAGCTGAGCAGATAGGAGCTAGTCACTCCTGGAAAATGGAAATTAAATGTGTTTTTCCACGGTCTTGCAGTCAGTTTTCTCTTTAAGACGTGTTAGCTAACATTTCGTATCTAATGAAAACCAATTCTGGTGCCTAGGTTGCTGGTGGGCTCCCCCTGGAGTGGCTTTCCTGACAACCGCATGGGAGACGTGTACAAGTGTCCCGTTGATCTGCCCTCTGCCGCCTGCGAGAAACTCAACCTGCAAAGTGAGTTGTAATTAGCACTGTGAGTTTTTACAAATAGCAACCCGATTTCTTATATACATGATTGAAAAGTAGCAAAGCCAATCACAGTTCAGTCCTAAAGAAATACAGCTATTTTGCGCCTTTATTTCTTTTTCTCAGTTATATTTGCCCCGATTGAATCCAGATTTCCAACTTCATTTGGAGACTTGATTTAATGAAACGCGTGGGAAACGTGCTCCCTCCTGGACCACCTACCCCCAGGTGGGAGCCAGTTTCTACCTGGACCACCTACCCCCAGGGGGGAGCCAGTTTCTACCTGGACCACCTGCCCCCAGGTGGGAGCCAGTTTCTTCCTGGACCACCACCCCCCAGGGCGGAGCCAGCTTCCACCAGCGTTCAGGATCATTTTGCTGATTATTTACAGAATCTGAGGCTGCCCAAACCTCTCTCTCCTCAAAAAAAACCCTGAAAGTATAGAGATGTCAGTCCTAAGACTGATTTCAGAGATGCTGTGTCCAAATGACTTCATTCTAGTAAAAATCTCCGGGATTTGGAATTACCTGTAATTGTTTGGAATTGCTCTTTCAATTACCCACATCTCGGATGCTTTCTATTAATGCAACGAGGTACTAAAAGTTACTGGAAACCGAAATGAGTCATGTTTCTGCACAGCACTTCCTGATGCAAGTAAGATGTTGCTAAATTTATTCATCAGCATCGTTCCAAAGAGCCAGCCCTGAGGCGTCACAGGATCCGGAGGAACTCGGGCGTGGGTGGGTTAGTAGGAGAATACAGTGCTGTGGAAATCGAGGGACAGGAGAGATTCCGGAACCGTGACCGAGACTTAGAGACAGGGCAGGAGTGTTTCTGACACACCTCTGTCTCCCTGACTTCCAGCATCATTTCTGCACACAGTAGGGGCTCAGGAAACCCATTTTCAGTGACGCGGGACGAGTGTCAGTCGTGTGAAATGCTGGAGGCGGAGGGTAGAACCATCAAGTACAGGTGATGGCCTTACTGAAGGAGGGCGGTGGCCACGTGGATTAGTGCTCCCCAGACACCTGCCACACTCGCCATAGATACAGAACACGTATAAATGTAAAATCTCTAAAGATGATAAACACACACTAGGGCTCAAAAGTTTTTTTATACCCTCCCTAATGTTTCGTATTACTGCTAACTTCTGAACACTCATCCCTAACGTATACATTTTTAAAATTATGTACATGTACTGACATGTACATAGTTACTTTCCTAAATAAAAATAATGCATTTAAAAGAATAAAACCGTACACACAGAAGCTCGGTTACCTTTCTTTCCGCACCGTATCACCGTGTTTCGTGACTTTCTTGTCCGGAGCGTGCGCCCAGCAGCGTTGAAGGGAGCGTGTGGGTCACAGAGAATTGGGGAGCAGGTGTGCAGTGAACGGGATGGGGCGTGGAGGCGGCCTCCAGTCCAGAGCAGAGTAGTGAGGAGAATTGGGGGCCCGCCGGGGGGCAGCAGGGCTAGAGGGTTTCCAATCGAAAGCGGTGGCCGCGTTTGTAGGGAGAGTGGAAGGAGGCGGTCAGGAGGGAGTGGCCGATAGTCAGGAGCAGAGTTAACTGGGTGGAATTAATGCCACTGCTCCCTGGGAGATGAGTCTTAGAAGGAAGGCTCCCTCCTCTAAGAGACGAAGGAAGGAGAGTTCCCGGGACGACCCAAGGTAAACCCGGGAGAAGCTGAGCTTGCACTTCGAGTGTGACTGTCCTCCCTGCAGGAGACGCGTTGTCCACGGAGAGGGACGGGCCCCGGGTGGAGGGCGGAGGCCGGAGAAGGACAGAGCTTTGCGTCGGCCGCCCTGGGGCGAGGGGTAGAGGAAAGCAGCCCCGCTGGCCTGGCAGGAACGGGGAGCTTGGCCAGTGATGCCAGTGATGTCAGTGATGCCAGTGATGTCAGTATGTCAGTGATGTCAGCGATGTCAGTGATGCCAGTGATGTCAGCATGTCAGTGATGTCAGCGATGCCAGTGATGTCAGCGATGCNCAGTGATGTCAGTATGTCAGTGATGTCAGCGATGTCAGTGATGCCAGTGATGTCAGCATGTCAGTGATGTCAGCGATGCCAGTGATGTCAGCAATGCCAGTGATGTCAGCGAGGCCTGCGCGATCTGTAGCTCAGGGATGGGGGGCGCAGCTGGCTCAGCGGCAGGGAGGAGTTGGAGAGATTCGTTATTCGACGTGGCTGGCCTCAGGGCTCCCTATGGCTTTAGCCAGACTCTGCCATAGGGGATCCTTCCGTGACACTCCAAGGATATTATTTCTCATTCAGAGAGAAGCATTAGTCACCATGACCTTGGAGAGAACAGGGATGGCAAGCTGGAGACCAGTGGTGTCCTCAGATGGGTTTTGTTTGGCCAGCACTTAAAAAATTTTAAATTTAAATGCCTGTAAGTTATGCTCTCTCCAGACCCACCCCCCAACAGCTTAACACCTGCAGCCTCACATGGGGACTTGAGCTGCGGGTCACTGGAGGCCTCTCATTTCCCTGCACTTGACCATGTACCTGAGCTTAGTTCAAATAGATGACAATGAATTCACTGCTACAGATCAACATGAGGGCGATGGGTTATTTTTTAACAGCTTTAAGTAAATGGAGAAAATGGAGTCACATGTCTTACTTTTTCCCTTGAAAGCTTCCGTAAGCATTCCCAACGTGACTGAGATGAAAACCAACATGAGCCTTGGCTTGACGCTCACCAGGAACCTGGGCACCGGAGGATTTCTCGTGAGTGTTCACTTTCCAAATCCCCATTCTTCTCAAGGACCCACGGGGCCAGCGCTCCTCACCACCCCTCCTATCGGCTCCGATCTTGAGGTTTAACTGCTAGAGCTTGCTTTTTGATGAGTCACCCTCTGTGGCTGTCCACGTGAAGTAGCACCCCGTGGATGCGCAGGCTTCTTAAGATACTTGGAAAAACCGTTGCCCAGAATGTTCTGAGAAGGGGGAGCGAAAGGAACAGGATTCTTTGCCCCTGGGAAGGGTGCCCGGTCTTTGTTGATAACAGCAGGACCCCAGGTCTCATGCCTCCTCCCTGCAGGCACCTGCAAGATAGGTGCTGCTGATCCCCCAAACGGGTTTCACAGCTAAAACCTACTTCTGTTTTCAATCATTTCCTCTAACCTTTGGCTAATCTGACATTAGTTAAGGCGTGGCTTGGTCTCTCCTCTTATTTCACGTCAGTGTTTCCTCTCGTTTACTTTCTAGAATGCTGTGGCAAGACATCACACGTCAGTGAGCTAGGATGCCTTACTGAACAAGTGCTCTGGGCCAGTCGACTGGTTAATAACTCACATATCCGAACATACGTTCGAGTGAACTAGAGAGTTGATATATACAAGTAGAAGAAAGTGGAAACTTTCTGAAAGAGGGAAGAACTTCTGAGCTTAGAACTAACCCAAGAAATAATACAGGAAATTGTTGAAAAGATTTGACTATATAAAAAATTAAAAGCATTGCACACACGCAAAAGGAGTTGAAAAGCAAATAAAAAAACGATTTTGCATTTCCACCAGCTCTCACAGGTGTACTTAGTTGTATCTTTGTGTTAAAATGGTCTTGGAAAGCTTAACTTAACACACTAACCTAAAAGCCTATGAGTGTTGCTGGATTCTTCTAAATATGGAATTTATTTTGAGCAATGTCATTCCACCTTCACCAATAGATATTCACATCCAGACAGACTTTGCACCACTAAGTGGATCGAGTATTGCTTATTATATGTGTTGCATCAATGTGTGGATGAAGGTTGCGACCCATCTCACCCTGACACCCCAGAGTCCTTGTGCCAGGATTGCCTTCACCCTTTCTCTGCTGGTTTGTTTTTAAAGTTAAATAAATTCAGAAGAGGAAATATATTGAGACACAGGGATTACAGGATGTGCTTCAGGAAAGTTTTTAACCTGTAACTTCAGATAGAGTAAAATAAAGTTGCAAGAGAATTTGAAAGATTAACTTAACCATGTAGGAAGCGGAGAGGGAGGGAGAGGGGGACGGAGAGAGAGAGGTGTCGGGGGCGGGGGAGAGAGGAAAAAAGAAATAAAAAAGCCAGTTTTCTTTACATACCTAAGAGATCAAAATTTTAAGATACTCTTAAGAATTGTGTGGAAAAGGCTGACAATCATCACATTTTTCGGAACCGTCCTCAACTCTGGGCTTGAAGCAGGAATGCGGTCCTGGCACTGGCAGCTGGCGTGGCCTGATCTCAGCTTCTCAGTGCTGTTTTCCATCGCTTTCAAAAAGTGGTTTTCAAATACTTCATGAGTTATTATTTTTCAAGATGATTATTAAAAAAACAACTCGGGGATGGGACTGTAGGCATCAATCATTGGTATCTGCTATTTGGTAAACTACCAAAGGCATCAGTTATGGTTTCCCCTAACTAATGGGCTAAAGGAATCCTTTTTATAGGCAAAACCAGCCCCGCTCACGGAGCGTGAGAAACGACCGCAGCTGCCGTCTGCTCCCTCGAGCGCCCAGCAGTTAAGCTGGATCAAATCCATCCCTTTTCCTTCTTCCGACGGCTTTCTGCAAGACGCACTTTTTGGTTCAGTTTTAATAAGTGGTCCACAGCTTAATGGTAACCTTTGTAGCTGTTTTTTAAGATCTTGGCTACACTTCTCTTGCCCATTTTTTTCCTTCCGTCTAATGATTTTCATATTGTTTAAGCGAACGTTGTCCTTGTGAGTGAATCGGGAGTTCTTGGCATTCAAGGCCTGCTGAGCGGGGAGGTTGGGGACGGGGCCGATGGAGGGACTCGGGACTGAGCACACGGGATGTGGGCAAGAGGCCTCGGGCCAGCCTTGGTGGCCGCAGGTCTCGGGGAGTGGACGTGGGGGGCTCTGAAGTCCTCAAAGAAATGCCCGCTAGCAAAGTGTAAAAACCACTTTGCTCAGGCAGCTCAGGAGCTCATCTGTGCTGCTTTAGCAGAGTGGGTTTTTGAAACGGAGTTTTCACACAAAATGCGTCCTCTCGGGCCCTCCTGGAGAGTTCGGGTGGTCTGGCCACTGCTGGGTGGAGCTGGGTCGCTGCCCCGTGCGTGTAGGGGAGCGGCCTCCTCGCCCGCCCCGCGTCTGTCCCGGCCGAGCACTCCTCTAGGTTTCCGGCCTGGCCCCGGGGGACACGCGGGCTTATGGTTTCTGCCAAATAGTCCCCATGGAGGGGACGGGAGGCACCCGGTGTTCCAGAATGGCACCGACGAGCCGCTGCCGGCCCCAGGCCACTCGCTGTCTGCGCAGCGCTGTTCCACCTGCCTGCAGGCCCACGTAGCCGCCACGTTAGAAACCGGAGGCGGGAGGATCTCCATTCGGCGCGTGAAGCGCCTGAGACCCAGGCGGCGGAGAGACGAGAGGGGGGCTTTGCCCTCATTGCCTCCGGGCGTTCCCTGGGACAGAAGCACCCTTCTTCTCCAGCGTGCTGGGCGACCTGAGGGCTCCCCGCTGTGCTGACACCTGCCCCTGGCGGTCCCCGGGCCCCCTCCCCGAGGCCTGCCGTAGGCACAGCGCGTCCCGCCCCCGCCTCCCTCGGGTTTGCCCGTCGCAGTGTCCTCAAAGGCACTGCTGACCTGTTCGCTTCAGGTTGACAGTTCCTAGTATCCTGCAGAACAGAAGTGACTTTTGAGTTTCACGGGTGGCGAGGGAGAGGCCTGACGGTGTCCGCGCTTCGTCATTGTTCTCACTGGGTTTTGGTGTTTTCTTGAAGACGTGCGGCCCCCTGTGGGCACAGCAGTGTGGGAGCCAGTATTACACCACCGGCGTTTGTTCCGACGTCAGCCCCGATTTCCAGCTCTTGGCCAGCTTTTCGCCCGCCGTGCAGAGTAAGTGAAGACTGGGGGGTCGGAGCGGCGCCTTCCCTTAAAGCAAGGGGGGCTTTCGTCAGCACGGCCGGCCCCTCAGCGCATTCTCGCGCCCTGTCCTGCTGCCGCGGGAGGTCGGCTTACCGTGGCCGTGTTTCTCCTCTCCCCCGTGCAGCCTGCACTTCATTCATAGACGTGGTGGTCGTGTGCGATGAGTCAAACAGTATCTATCCCTGGGAGGCAGTGAAGAACTTTCTGGAAAAATTTGTGCAAGGCCTGGATATAGGCCCCTCGAAGACACAGGTATGGACACCAGTAAACATGTTAACCCACAGCTTTCTTGCTCAGTGTCGTCTTACGACCTACATGGGACCTTTGCGTGAGTCCTGATACACGGCCTCTCCCTAAATCTCCCGCTTCTCGCCCGGAAGCTCAGGGCTGTCATGGGAGCCTTCCTCTCATGCTGGACTTCGGAAGCTTCCCAGCTGCTTTGGGCCCTTCCCTAGCTCTCCGGTCTTACAGCCTCTCCTAAAACGACGGGTCTGGTAACAGCATATTTTCACCGTCCAGCGAAAGCAGCGGATGGACCTCAGACAGCCAGGCCCTGCCCCCCGCCTTCCTGACGCGCTGACCAGCGTTTCCCAGACCCTTGACCCCCAGCGTCTCATCGCCACCTCCGGCTCCTGGGCATCGAGGGCGGTTTCAGCCCCAAGAACGACGACAGCTCGACCCCCTTGATCTAAGGATCAGGGTCGTGGCCGAGCATCCTGTTCAGAGGCTTCTCTGCCTCTCGGCTCTGAGATCAGACTCTCTCGGCGGCATTTTCTCTGACGCCCAGCAGCTCCTGCCTCAACTGCGCAGGCGGCGTCTCTGCTCCGACGGGGGTGCTGAGAGGAAGCCCAGCACGTAGACACACCCCAAGTGACCGCACTGATTATTAGCAATAATCAGCCGTCTGGAACTCCTAAGCTCGGCTTCTTATGTAATTATCCTGAATTGATGAGCTGTTACCTGCCATCCATGGCTGCTCGTAGTTAATTTACATGTTCACATCCATCATTAATTAGAAAATGTGTATCATTTTTATCTGTTATGGACCTTACTAAAATATTTATCCACGTTAAGGTATTATAGGGCCGTGCTTAAAAATTTACAGCTATTACTCTTGAGAACCAAGTCGCACATGGTAGCACATTGACTTGCTTATCCAAGGTAAGGACTGTTCTGAGCACTCAGAGCCCCCAAAAAGGAGCCATTTATTTCATTGGGAGAGAAACAACCATTCTTACGGAGCTGAAAAGATTCCCTAAGCTCTCGGCACTTTTGATTTTTATTTTATTGGGTCATATAGAAATGATTTATAACTTAATGACAACCTTCTTAAAAAATATATGTTTTTATTGATTTTAGAGAGAGAGGAAGGGAGAGGAGATAGAAACACCGATGAGAGAGTCATCGATCCACTGCCTCCTGCACGCCCCCTAGTAAGGATCGAGCCCACAACCCGGGCATGTGCCCTGACCGAGAATCGAACCAACGACCTCTTGGTTCATAGGTCAACGCTCAACTGCCGAGCCACACCGGCCGGGCTGATGCCAACCTTTTAAAGGACGTCTGCTCTCTTGCAGGTGGGGCTCATTCAGTATGCCAACAACCCAAGAGTTGTGTTTAACCTGAACACTTTTAAAACCAAAGCTGAGATGATTGCAGCAACCTCCAAGACATTCCAGAACGGCGGGGACCTCACGAATACGTTCAAAGCCATTCAGTATGCAAGGTGAGCTTCGACGCCGTCGCCAGTATTTGGATAAAGTAGACATGCTTATAAGTAAGAAAGAGAAAAGACAGAGAAAAATGCTCAGCTGGGACCCTCGCTTTATCAGAAATAACAGAAGTATAAATATTCTATAACTTAAACACTTTGAGGAGACAGTAGGACGTGATGTTTAAAAATCTTTGATTTCTAGGGCCTTTGTGAGCTATTACGTGATTTTTTTAAAGATTTTATATGGCATAATGAAATGAAGTGAAAAGCCCTTAGGTTAAAGCAGCGGGAAACGGAGCAACCTGAAGTTATTTGTTAATACTCCGCAAGGCCCCAGACACCTGAGCTCAGGGCACTTTAGCAAATCGGGACGGGCCAAGGAAGCGGNTCAGGGCACTTTAGCAAATCGGGAAGGGCCGAGGAAGCGTAACCCTGATGACCTGGAGTCCGAATCCGGTGGGGCTTAGGGTGCTCCTTGCAACCCGGGGCTGTGATTTTACAGCCACAGGGCACCCTGCTCATCCTTAGCTCAGTTCCTCTGTGTTCTCAGCACCGCCGACCTAAACCTTCACTCCGTTTTAATCAGATACCTTTACAAAAACACTAATGCTCTCCTGTTGTTAACAAATAACAAGAGCAATAAGCTCACCTCCCCGAACCCCACTCCCTGCCTTTTGCCTCTTGTGTATCCATCCTTCCATCGCCTTAATCTCCCAGTGTCTGCCGTCCCTCCCGCCGCTCCCTAGCAACCCTGCCGCTGCCACCAGGCAGGCAGGCGGGACCCCCTTCAGCACCGGGCGGCACAGCGTCCCGCCCAGGCCCGGTCCTTAGCTCCCCTGAGCGTCTGATAGGATGAGCTCCCCCCGTTACCGTAACCCCTGCCAACCTCTGTCGACAGTGTTGCCCCTTCTGCTCTTGTCCCCTCGCTCGACAGAGCCCGACAGAGCCCTCTTTCCTTGTGGCCCTTTTCTCTCGGGCACGGTGTCCGCGCTCCTGGCATCGGCACCGGCCCAGGCGGGTCTCCCCACGCTCCGGTGTCAGCGCTGCCCCAACCTCACCCCGGAGCCAGCTGAGGCCCAACCTCTTTCTTTGGAGCGTGGGGGTCGCTTTTCAAAATCAGAGCATCGAAACCCCCGGCTGCATTCCTTTCCCTGCCCCTGCTCGTGACCCCGGCCTCTCGATTCACCCCCCCANGGCTGCATTCCTTTCCCTGCCCCTGCTCGTGACCCCGGCCTCTCGATTCACCTCCCGCCGCCTCCAGGCGCGACCGAGGCTTGACGGTGGCTTTGCTCCTCCGAGGCCCACATCTCAACTTCAGCCATCGGCAGTGAGTCTTTCCCTTCATCTGCCGCAGGGATTTCGCGTACAAAGCATCTGCTGGCGGCCGGCCAGGCGCCACCAAGGTCATGGTGGTGGTGACCGACGGCGAATCCCACGACGGCTCCATGTTGAAAGCGGTGATCGCTCAGTGTAACGACGACAACATCCTGAGGTTCGGCATCGCGGTGAGTGGGCCTCCTCTCCCCGTCCCACGGCCGTGAGTGGGCCTCCTCTCCCCGTCCCACGGCCGTGGGTGGGCCTCCTCTCCCCCGGCCCACGGCGGTGGGTGGGCCTCCTCTCCCCCGGCCCACGGCGGTGGGTGGGCCTCCTCTCCCCCGGCCCACGGCGGTGGGTGGGCCTCCTCTCCCCCGGCCCACGGCGGTGGGTGGGCCTCCTCTCCCCCGGCCCACGGCGGTGGGTGGGCCTCCTCTCCCCCGGCCCACGGCGGTGGGTGGGCCTCCTCTCCCCCGGCCCACGGCGGTGGGTGGGCCTCCTCTCCCCCGGCCCACGGCGGTGGGTGGGCCTCCTCTCCCCCGGCCCACGGCGGTGGGTGGGCCTCCTCTCCCCCGGCCCACGGCGGTGGGTGGGCCTCCTCTCCCCCGGCCCACGGCGGTGGGTGGGCCTCCTCTCCCCCGGCCCACGGCGGTGGGTGGGCCTCCTCTCCCCCGGCCCACGGCGGTGGGTGGGCCTCCTCTCCCCCGGCCCACGGCGGTGGGTGGGCCTCCTCTCCCCCGGCCCACGGCGGTGGGTGGGCCTCCTCTCCCCGGGCCCACGGCGGTGGGTGGGCCTCCTCTCCCCCGGCCCACGGCGGTGGGTGGGCCTCCTCTCCCCCGGCCCACGGCGGTGGGTGAACGTCCCTCTGCAGCATCGTCCCCCAGGCCCCTTTCTCGGTGGCCTCGGAGCCGTGCGTGAGGGGCAGTGTTTGCGGGGATCTGCCGCTTGCTGTCCAGGCCCGTGGGCGCGGGTGCAGGTTCCCTTCGGGGGCCCGTTATGCCCAGGAACTGCCTAGAGGGTGCTAATAGCGAGGCTGAAGCTCAGCGGTAATGACTTTTTCTTCTCCCACCTCTGTTTTCAAGGTTCTTGGCTATTTAAACAGAAATGCCCTGGATACTAAAAATTTAATAAAGGAAATTAAGGCAATCGCCAGTGTTCCCAGCGAAAGGTACTTTTTCAACGTGTCCGACGAAGCAGCTCTGCTAGAAAAGGCGGGGACGATCGGAGAACACATCTTCAGCATTGAAGGTAAGGACTCCTGGCAGCAGTTTCCTTTCAAAAACCGCTTCAAGAACTTCTGATTTTGTGACCGTGTACTTGCTCTATGAACGTTAACCTGTGTACCTTGTATGAAAAGAACTCCTATGAATTGGTAAGAAAAAAGGCAAAGGGCATGAATAAGTATTTTATAAAAGATAAAATACAAATGGCCAGTACACATAGGAAAACAGTCCTAATTTCAGTACTTATTTAAAAGTATGAATTAAATCACTGTTACTTTTTGTTTAAAAGATAACAAAGATTAGTAATGTTTAATTCTGGAGAGATTGTGGAGAAGCAGAAAGCTCATAGACTATTGATAAGATTATAATTGTATAACATTTTCAGGGCAATTTAGTAACATCTATTGTAATTATAAAAAAGTTTTACCTAACTGTAAATAGTTTTCATAATTGTAAAAGCTTTACTTTTTTACAGTGACATAATTTCTAAAATTCTTACGTTTGTTTACAAAAACATGAATACTTTTAAAATTAGAAAAATATAGTGAAGATCTCGAGGAAACGTTTACTGGATCTGTAGTAACTTACTTATCTGGCCTTGGGAGGCCCAGTCAGTGCAGAAACGTTCCACGTTCAAGACCTCACTTGTGTGGGGGCCTGGAACCCACTTCCCACTTGGCGAAACGTCCCCCGTGACCCAAAGCCTGGTTCCTGGTGCTCAACCCAAACAACTTAGCCGTAAAAAGCATAGTTTATTGAGCCCCTACTATGTGTCAGGTACTTCTCCTGAATCTAGGTCCGAGGGGACTGTGTAAAGTAAATATTCATCCCTCAGTCATATCTTAATCTCCGGATCACCCACTGGAAAATTCTACCCCCAAAAATCCTATTGCTTCTTCAGCACGCCACGGTGCTCCTAAGGTGTTTCAATCATCCTCAAAATCTAATATGTCCTGAGGAAATAAAAAATTGTTTGGCCACCTGTCGTCATCATTTTGCTTTGTGGTGGCGTGAATATGAACAGCCGTGGTGCGGCCTGAAAGCTAACTGCCAATGATTTTTCATATTATCTGCTGGAATGGGGATTTTGGGGAACGCTGCGTTACTTTATCAAAAACTCTNCAGCCGTGGTGCGGCCTGAAAGCTAACTGCCAATGATTTTTCATATTATCTGCTAGAATGGGGATTTTGGGGAACGTTGCGTTACTTTATCAAAAACTCTCCTCATCCTGTATAAAAGATTACATCTTCTAAACAAGTGACTGTGTCACGGGGTCCAGTCCGTCTTCTCTGTATTAAAGTGACACTCCAGGAATTTAGGTTCGTTTTTGAGAAGATTTGTGAAAGAACCACTTTAACCACAATGTATGGGATGGATATACCAACGGCGTCTCACAGTGCTCGTGGAGGCAGAGGCGCCACACGCGCTGAACTAGGACAGGCGTCCCAGTTGGCTAAATTTCTACTCAGTCTGAGTCCTGGTCCCTGAAGCCTGACCCCGTACCTCTCCTCAGGCCAGCAGCCGAGCTCCCACGGGTCTGAGACGTGCCTCACACATCGGCACCTGTATCGAAAAGCTGAAAGTTCAGATCATTTCTTAACTATTAATAAGATTTTTTTATAACAAGCTATCATGCCAGTGTTCATGTTACCCCATCCCCTATATTGAGTGTTCTTTGATATCAGAAACTTCATATCCATAAATATAATCATGCGTAATCCGTATCAATGACTGCTTCAAACTCTACCTTGGAAATACTGCGGATTTCCCTGTCTGTTGGAATACGTACTCAGTGATTTCTCCAATGTGCCAGCCTACATTTTTGAGTGAACATCAGAACATTGTGTGTGTGGGGGGGGTGCAGGCGTGTGATGGAAAACTTGATTTAAAGTTGATGTTAATGACATAATTCTTGAAACTGCCATTTCCCAGGCACCGTTCAAGGAGGAGATAAGATCCAGATGCAAATGTCACAAGTGGGATTCAGCGCAGATTACTCTCCTGAAAACGTGCGTATATCAGATGGCTTCCAGCCGTGCACTCATTGGGCTTAAACACTGTGGGCGAGGCCGCCTTGTACATAAAATGCAAAAACAGCCATGTAGTGGCCAACCGTTCTCACCCCTAGTCATAGTCGCTGAGTTTCCTCCTGCCGCTGACTTGCCACCAGAACAGGAAGGTTGGCCCAGCCGGTGTGGCTCAGGGGTTGAGGGTCAACCCAAGAGATTACCAGTTCAGTTCCGGGTCGGGGCCCGTAACCAGGTTTCAGGCCTGATCCCTCCCTGGGGGCATGCAGGAGGCAGCTAATGGATATTTCTCTCTCATCGATGTTTCTATCTCTCATCTCTCTCTACAATCAATAAAAACATATTTTTAAAAGATAATAATAAACATGAAGGTTAATGGTGCCTTCCCTTCCCTATTTCACAGGGATTTTATGTGGAAAAGAAATGATAATGTACAAGAAAGCCTTTGAGCGCTCCAGGCACAGGCAGTGTGTTAATTCAGGGTGTTATCACTGCAGGAGTTTCCTTTGAACCAAGGAACTAATGGACCAGTTTGTTTAAACAGACTCCTGTCACCACTGTCGCTGTTGAATTCCCAGTTGTTGTGGTGTCTCTTTTCCAAGAGCAGTGACAGAAAACAGTTGAAAGAGTGAGGAGCTGGGGAAAATGTGAGGTGGGGAGTCTTCTTTGCTCAGAGAAATCCATTCTGCTCAGCAGCACCCACTTCTCAAGCCTCCGATTCCACCTCCGCTCGGGATGGGGTGGAGTCAAGGACAGAGGGACAGAGGTGCTCAGGGAACAGCAGGAGCTCGGAGGGTCGGGTCAGCAGACACACCTTGTATTCCCTCTGGAGTCTATAGAGGCGCTCCCCTTTTCTGGATCATCAGTCGTCAGAGAGGCTCATAAAGTTCTAGGTCTTCCCTGAAAAACAAATGTGGACGAACCCCCCCAGAGAACGCGGAGCACACGTTCCTGGGGGCTCGCTCACTCCCCGAGCTCCAGCTCTACCCGACTGAGTCCCGGGTTTATGACAGTTTTTCACATAATTCCGGCGTCTCTTGTTCTCAAACACATCATTTCCCGATTTGCTATTTTATTTTATTTATTTAATTTTTTTAAATTTATCTTAATTGTTGAGAGTATTACAGGTGTCCCTTTTTCCCCCCAATTGACCCCCTCCACCTCGCTCCCACCCCCTCCCCAGGCCTTCACCCCGTTATTG